GAAACTCTCGGAGACTCGGTATAATGCACAAATGAGTTAAAATAAATGAGATACTAGCCAGAATTGAAAATAAATTTGATACTTGAACGAATTGAAAATAAATGTGATACATACCACTTTTATTTTCAATATCTTTCAAGTATCAGATTTATTTTAAACTCGAGTTAGTATCTCATTTATTTTAATTCATCGTCTTGTATCAGTATTTTTTTAAAGAATGTTTGGAGCTCATGATTATTCTTACCCATTCATTTATAGTGTCGCAATTTATTTTGTGCATTTTTGGAGTAACGCATTTTCTGTTCAGTGGTGATGTGCATATTGTATGTTCAATCGGCGAAGTAAAAATGTTCCTCCTGTAGTACAAAAATGTACAGTGGGGGAGATGATGCGTTGTATTTTATACATATGATCGCACAGAGTCGAACAATGCCGTAACAATGTAAACCAGAGAATTAACTTTTGTTATTAGAATAATGTAAATAATTGCTTTCAATTTTTATTCTTAATGTTAAAGATTTCCAAAATTTACTGTATATGTAGGCGTGACGCAATATTGACAATTTTTGTGTGAGAGCGTCACTTGTCGAGCTACCGTTCTCCATGATTCACGCTCGCTTCTTATAATTTGTCAAAAATAAAACCTTCATAAAGACAGACGAAATGTGACATTAGTCAAGGTTTTTCAAAAAGTTAATTAACTTATGTTATTTTGATAGCTGATAATTATCAAAATAATAATTAATTATTAATTATTATAATTAGTCAAGCCACTGACACATGATAAGTGATAGTGAGTATAATTAATTAATTATGGATATTAATTTGAACTAATTAGTTATAATCATAATAATTCATCAAAATTATCAATTTGCCGGAGAGTGGTATTTTTCAATGCCAGTGTTACTATTTTTACGGTTTAATTTCTTTTTCATTTTAAAAACAAAGTTTTCCAAAAAACACGCTTAAGCAAACATATAAAAAACCATATTTACTTGCAGGAGGCGAATGATAGCCAACATGATTGGTATAAAAAAATATACAACACAATTCATAAAGTTAGCGACGGAGGTGAGCAATTTGCACATGACATTAAAAAGGGAATGAATAGTTGAACAAGTCATTGAAGGAGATGTTGAGAGTTGCGTGTATAAAAAGTACACTTGACTGACATGTCATAAAAATAAAACTTATTATATACTCGTTCACAACATCTCCTTTCTACTTGATATTGTGTTTTTCTTGTCAAATTGGATTTAAACTATTTGTAAATTATATTTTGCTTCCTTTTCTTGGTTTGTTCGTACAATTTTTTTTTTTTTTTTTCAGATGGCTTTGTAACTGTTCGCTACAAAACCCGTCGAGGTAAATATTTGAAAACCCGATCAATTTCCATTTAGCGTTGAAATATTTGTTTATATTGAGAAAATAAGAACTGCTTATACAAAATCACAACCTTTTTACTTTTCCGAACACACCTAGTGTGTGAGGTAAAGTATTGGAATCGGTCGAAAAAATAACACCCGCAAAAAGCGTGTTTTCTGGGTGTTTTTTGGACCAATGAACACGAATCTAGCGTAACGTATGCATACATGTGCATACCCTGTACGCTGTACGCAAAAATTTGTTAACACAATAACTTTCAAACAAGTAGAGTAATTAAAAATCTGACTTCACGGGATGATTGGGGGTGCCGAGGAATGGAAACCATTAGATTTTGAGCGACTTTGGTTGATAGAGTGAAGTGTCATGTCTGGTGTGATGCCCATGGCCATCCATGGGAAAAATTCAATTTTACTTTTCCGCACACACCTAGTGTGTGCATTGAATTTTAATTATTTGGGTTTGCATGTGTCTCATTTATGTCAATCAGTGCTTTATTCCTCAAACATATGCTTTATTTTTATTGTACTAGATCGTATTACTGGTATTGGACGTATTTAGTACTTCCTCCTTGGGTACAGGGTACAGGGTACGCACATACATTCGAACATTGAAAAAACGCTCGATTCGTGTTCCCTGACTCCGAAAACACCCAGAAAACACATTTTTGATGGGTGTTAATTTTTCGACCTTACACACTAGTTGTGTGCGGAAAAGTAAAATTTTATTAATAACGTTAAATTTCTAACATTTCCCAATAACATATTATTGTCACCAGACGTTACCGGTAAATAGATATTGCATTTGTAGTAACACTTACTGGTAATACTAAAATCTAACATAACAATTGTAATAATATTACTATAATGCATTGTTACAATTGTAATGTGTTACTGCAAAATGTAAATCCGTGTTTCATGCAGACATTTCATTTTCTACGAATGAACAGCCAAATACAGTTGCGTTCGTTCGTGTTTGTTCGTTGAAAGAGGTACATGTCACCAACATCAGCCTGGAATTGTGCTGATAAACCAAAAAGTGTAAAACCATTATGATTGAACTGTGCTGGAGAATGCACTCTAGAAATTGATGTATCATTCAATCCATCGCATTGATGGAGTTACTCAGTTTAGAATCAATTTTCAATTCAAAAGGCGGATTAATTCTACTTCGACTTTGAATCATATTTTTGATAAACACTTGAGCGGCCGAGGTAAACACATCTCAAGTGAGCTTGCAACTAACACTCGGAATTGAATTGTGTCTGGTCAGTGGGCCTGACATCTACTCGCCCCAAACCAAAGAAGGATCATCATCAGATGATGATGGTGATGATTACATACGTTTCTTTGAATGTCTTGAGGCTGGATGTTTTCACGATGATCCGTACTTCGGTGTCTGTTTTTTCTTCTTTGAATTGACTTCTTCGCGCTTACGTTTTCTTTCCAAACATCTTCCCATCAAAAAATGAGGTTCAAATGTCAACACCACACCGAAATTATGCCCCATAAGAGACTGTATAAAATGCAAAACTGTAGCACTGCTAGCGCCACTACGGACAACTATGGAGTTCCAGTCCGTTGGTTGCAACTGAGCAAAAGTCTTTTCACTATTTGGCGGCAGCTTAGTGTAGATTACATTGAATTCCGTCATGGCGCTAGCATTGTGACAGTTTGGGCATAATTTCGGTACGGTCAACACTGTTTTTTATAGCGTTCCATACCGGCTCACTTTGAACGGTAAATAAAATGTCTTACATCCGTAAGATGAACTTTTCCGCACTGTGATCCACAACATACATTTATTACAAATCTTTTACTCAAAGAATTCACTAGAAAACTGAATCTGACATTAGTTTTATACAAATAATTTTTTGAAGCACTTTTCATACAAAAACTACTAAAAATGGGATTTTTTGAATCGCAGCCATGCCTATATGATATCGTAATCATGTGAAAATTTGCAGAGGTTTTTTTTTCACAAAAGGCCAACATTCCGAAAGTTTGAAGAAATTTCAATGCATATTAAGGGTACTTCTCATACAAATTTCGTTTTTGAGCGAAAAATCTAAAATTTTGTTTGGGAGGTACCCCTAATATGCATTGAAATGTCTTCAAACTCTCGGAATGTTATTTTTGTGTTATAAAAACAACCTGTGCAAAGTTTCCGCTCATTACGATATCATTCAGAAATTCAATTTTTTTGAAATTTTTGTACGAAAAGTGTGTCTAAAGTTATTTGTATCGCAAAACTAACGTCATATTCGGTTTTCTCGTACCCAAAAACCCCCCAATACATATTTTTGAGTGTTTAAGTATACTTTAAATATCACTTTTGGAGGAAAAATTGAATTTTTCCTATGGATGGCCATGGGCATCTCTCCAGACATGACACTTCACTCTGTCAACCAAAGTTGCTCAAAATCTAATGGTTTTTATTCCTCGGCACCCTCAATCATCCTGTGAAGTCAGATTTTGAATTACTTTTCTTGTTTGAAAGTTATCGTGTTAACAAATTTTTGCGTACAGCGTACAGCGTACAGGGTACCACGCACATACATTCGGACATCGAAAAAACGCTAGATTCGTGTTCCCTGGTTCCTAAAACACCCAGAAAACATGTTTTTTGAGGGTGTTAATTTTTCGACCGATCCCAATACTTTACCTTACACACTAGGTGTGTGCGGAAAAGTAAAATTTGAAGGGATTACCCTACATTTTCTGCCAACACAAACAATTAAGCACATCTTTTCCAAAAAAAATTCCCATCATGTTTTTTGGACTTTAGACGAAAAGTGCTCGTTATTTAGATTAATAACACAATTTTTTTCATGTTTTGGTTCATCTCCACAATGACATGGCTATTGCACATTTAATTTGATAGTCTACACACCACATGAATTACGATTACTTATAAAACTTCCTTTCTTTAAATAAATTTCTAATGTATTATTTGTTGTCTTCAAATTAAAATTTAATTTTTTGGTTGGTATAGGAAACTACCCGTACAAATCATCAAACGGTTATGCTTCAGAACCTGAACAAAGTCACAACTTAGAGCATAGAAAATGTAAAACTTTGGATCGAAAAATCAACCCATCATGCAGAAAGTAAGTCAGTTTAGAAAATAAGTTTAAATTATCATTAAATACATGTATTCAACATACATTGAATTATTTTTAACTAAACCCACTAAAAAAATTTCGATCAAATATTTCTGAGAGAGATAAATAATAGTTTTTGATAATTCTGATTTTTTTTACATTCTTCATCTATTCTGTTTTAAATAATTTTCTATTCCTAGTTTAACTGGAGATAGATTTACTTCCAATTCTATTTAATTGGTATTACTGTTTGGTATCCTTTTAGTATAATAATCATTGAATGTAATGTAGGCATATCATTTATAGGTTCAAATTTAGTATAATTCTTCTTATTGGTATATCATAAAGCGGCGTTGCACGGATATTATAAGCTGAATCATAATAGTTCAAATTGTTTGAAATACAAGTTGACTTCATATCTACATGCATAATTTTTAAGATGAAAGACACTTGCATTTCAGTTACTGTTTCAGTGTTCTGTAAGTGATTATCATTTATTAAATTATGAGAAGCACCACAATGCAATCAATATTGGGTATAATGATCCAGTCATTAAAAATAAAAACACGAAAAACACGTATTGGGACTACTCCGGGATAGTTTATCAAGCCATTAATCAAGATGAAGAACAAAGTCAGCAAAGCTCATAGAGACAAACAGAAGCTTAACACAATGGAAACAAACGAGAAATTCAGAAAACTAAGAAAGGAATACAAACGTAGTGCTCAATCAGCTCACCGAGACCATCGAATTGAAATGAAGAAGTTAATTGATAAAAATCCAAAGAAATTCTTTTAACATGTGAATTTCAAAAAGGATAAGAGTGATGATCTACCTCATGAGATGAGTTATTTGGGAGTGAAAGCAAATGAACAAAAAACTATCGTTGGTTTCTTTGCAAAGCACTTTGCCTCAGCCTACAGCTCTTTGAAGGGAGATCTACGATTTGATGGCTCGGAGATTGAAAATATTCGCGACATTTGTGCAGAAATATCTACAATCGAAATAACTGAAGAGCTTGTTGGACAACAAATTGACATGCTGCCAGATGATCTGGTCAATGGTCCTGATGAAATACCAAATAGATTTATCAAGCACTGTTTGGTCTCATTGCAGGGGCCAATAACAACATTGTTAAGAGAATCACTTGAAACAGGCTCAGTGCCACAGATATGAAGAACGTCTTTTGTAAGACCTGTTTACAAAAACGGTGACAGAAACAACGTTCAAAATTACCTTGGTGTCGCACTTCAGAGAAGTCAAGATATCGAATACCAAATCAGACCCAATCGAAGTAACTTCTGGTACTGGTCAATGTTATCCCATTGGCGCAACTTTGTTTATCATGTTTGTGATTGATCTACCTTTCGTCGTGACATTGGTCATGCATCCTTTCATTCGATGATGATACAAAACTTTCGAAATGTATTACCTCAACAGATGACTGATTAAGTGATTAATCTTCAAGAGGATTTGGATCGTGTAGCAGATTAATATGGACGCAATTTATTAAAACTATAAGTCAACCAAACAAAACTAGTATCATATCATCGTGGATCACTAAAATATGAATATAATTACAACGTTGATGGTGTACAAATTGAAAGAGTAGTAATAAAGGACTTGGGAAGGTTGCTTGATGTAAGGATGAATTTCAAATCACACATCGGACATGTTGTTGCTAGGGCAAAATCAAGATTGGCTTGGTTAAAATTCTACAGTAGGAATTTTGTCGATCCATGGACCATTGAAAGACTTTACTTTACATTCGTATTACCAATCATCGAATATGAAGCAGAAATATGGAATCCACACTTCAACAATATGTGTATAAGAGTTGAATCAATACAAAAGCAATTTTTACTGTTTGTACTAAAGAGAATGTCCTGGAACAATTATAGACTGCCGAAATACGAACATAGACTCCTATTTGCAACTCCACTATTCGATCTATTAAATAAAAGGACTGATTACACGAAGTTTGAACCAATTAATTATATGCTTGCAACATTTGACGATTTTTATACCAAAAAAATGCTAAATAGAGATAAAAATATAATTGATCTAGAAGTAAATTTATCTACAGTCAAAATAAGAATGGAAAATTATTTAAAGCAAAACAGATGAATGAAAAAATATTTATACATAGATATTAAAATTATTAGTTAAAAATGAATTTATGTAAAGCAAAAATCGAATTAAAATAATCACTCTCTCTCTTTATTATAATACATTATATTTATTTGAATTATTTTGAATAAACCACCAAGGCGAAGAAACGCTGTTCGATGCAGTCATTAGTATTATAATTATTATTATTAACATATGTCCATGAAGTTTTGGCAGTAAATTCAGACGTTCGCCATTTGGACAACAAACATACAATATCAAATTCGTTTTTATTGGCGTAAACCTTTATTTATAAGCTATCGAATAGCACATTCAAATTACACTTAAAGGGCCATTGTCTTCAATTTTTCGTAGTATACTTCGAACCTTCAAAATCATGCTCTGGCAGACCGATACATCCATTTCCTTCAACTATCGCTTGATTCGACCCATCAACTGTTGCTTGTACTGAGCTTCCCAGCCCATCTCGTACACTTTACGTTTGAGAGCCGACCAGAAATCTTCGATTGGACGTGCCTGTGGAATGTTTGGTGGGTTGTCCTTTTTCGGTACAAAAGGAATATTTTGTTCAGTGAGCCAATTCAATGTTTTTTTCGCATAATGACTGCTTGCAAGGTCCGGCCAAAACATGATTTCGTCTCGGGCGTGATGGTTTTCAATGAATTGCTTCATTTTTGGCAAGCATTGATCAATATAGATGTCAGAATTTATCGCTTTGGCTCCTTGTGGTCGAATAACTGGCTACCTTTCGATGATATGGCCACCCACACCAATACCTTCGGCTCAAATTTTGACTTACCGGCATATTTGACATTGTCTGGTGTTGTTTCAATGTTGTCAGTGTAAAAGCCATCGTTTCCACTCAATTCATGGTGCGCAAAAGTAAAGTATGATTCATCATCCAAAATCATGAATTTTCCATTTGAAAAATGTTTATCACGAAGTGCACGGCAACATTTTGGTATTATTTCGAGTTGTCTCGGTGTATATTTTGGTGCTCGCTTACGTTTACGATAGAGATCGTGTTGATTGACCAATCTTGTTTTTTGCACTTGACAGCAGACTTTTCGTTGTTCTGACACTTAGTTTTGGTGGACGACCAGATTTCTTTTTGTTTTCCGGTTCCTTACCTTCCCGGCAATCCTTTAAAACACGAAATATGGTTCGAGGTGAGATTGGCTTGTCTTAAACACTCGAAGAATTTCTTTTGTACTTAGTCTGCCAAAACAATTAGCGACAGACTTTCGTAAATCCAATTTGTACGACATTGCGAATGATTGTATTATGTCGGATTGGGTTTGACAGTAGTCTCGAGGTACCGATAAATGCACTGCGTGCGTTGGTTGACATTTTTCAATTTTTGCATGCTGCGTAATAAACGTCTGAATTTACTGCCAAAACTTTATGGACATATGTTATGTCTCCTCAAGCGTAATCATTTCGGAAGTCTGAAACTGTTCCAGTTCATTCTCATGTTATTATTGCGTCGAAAGAAGTGTTTTTTACTTATATCAATAGTTTAGATAGTATTTTGGTTACCGTTAATATGTTCAAAATGGCGAAAGATGAAGATTTTTGTATAGGAAATGTACCATGAACGAATTCTACTGCAAAATAAATGTCATATTCGGTTTTCTCTTATCAATAAACCCCCAAATACCAATTTTCATAGCATTATTCGATTGCGAAATATTATTCCAAAAGGATGGTTTCAAGACGAAAAATCTAAAAAAATTGAACTAATTTCTCAAAACGGTTACCACCATTGAATTCCTCGGGTCCGAATTATGTAAAATCAGTTGTCAAAGTGAACAAACAAAGTAAAACCGTAGTAAATTGCAGTTGATTATTAACCTAAGATATTAAAATATAGGTGGCCGCCTAAGTTTACACTTTTACCAATTTTCACCAAAGAAAAGAATGTTGTCGTTTCAAAATGTGCATATCGGCTCAAAATTGAGTGCGCTTTCGATCTATGAGGAAAAAATCGAAGCAAGACATACATTTTTTCAAGATAAATGACGATTAACTTCGATTTTCATCGATTTATCCCCATTTTTTGAGGGTCCTAGTCATTCTTATATAACCGTTTCCGCTGAATTTTTTTTCAAAATTTCTTTATTGCTTCATCAAGATGATCTTAATGACTTTCCAATAAGCTAGAATGACGTGATTCTGTTAAAAAACACCCCGTATACCTGTGATCAAAATTGGCCAAAAATTGAAAATTTGCCGAAAAAAAAATTTCAACTTCGAAATATTTTTTAATATTTAACGAATTTTCTCAGATATGACACATACGCCAAATCCTCACATATTTGGTCCCTAACAAACGCCCAGTTTTTTTGATGTACGCAATTTTTTTTAAGTTGGGATTACGTGAAAAAAGTCATGGCCGAAAATGTCACATAACACGCCACCTGGCGGACATTTTTGAAAATTTTTCCATTCTGACTTCGGATCCGGCGAGTCTTTTACCTTTTCAATGACGTATAAATCATTGTTGTACCTTACAGATGGCCAGACAAATTTCCGATTGATGAAAAACTCAAAAATGGCAATCCAAAACTGTTCGAGTCCAGACCAAAACCACTTACGCAACGAATTTTTTGAAACTGAGAAATTGGTTTACTCAGTTTTCAGTCTACTTTCGAAAATACGGACAGACATACAAACACCCCAAACGGTCAATTTCGAGGTTTTGGCCATTTTTGGCGAATTTTCTTGGCCACTTTTCAACCGATCGTGATGATTTTTTTTTAACATTATCTACGCAGTTTTCCGGTTCCGAATATGGCCATAAAAATTTTCGAAAAAATATTTTCGGTGGTCAAAAATCGAGAAAAAGGAATTTTCAGTGATTTTTCCAAAATGCAACCTGTCGGCAAAATTTTGATTTTTTTTCAAATTTTTTGCGGATTCTTAATTTGGTGCCCGAGCATTACATAAATATGCAAAAACCCCTTTACAAAAGTCAGCGGTCTAGATTTTCATATCTATATAACGTATATATAGATCAAATAAAAAACCTCTATCGAGGTAGAGAACGAGTGACGAAACCAACATTTGAAACACAAAATTTCTGATATCAATTTTGTGACGAAAATAGTTGGTAGATATTTTTTCTGTGTACTGTGAATATAAACTTAATATACATTTGTATATTAAAAACGTTGCAGAAACGTCCCCCTTTTTACTTTGAGTTCATACTGACGCAATCAAGCAACGTTCCGAATTTACAAATGTATATTAAGTATATATTCACAGTACACAGAAAAAATATCTACCAACTATTTTCGTCACAAAATTGATATCAGAAATTTTGTGTTTCAAATGTTGGTTTCGTCACTCGTTCTTCACCTCGATAGAGGTTTTTTATTTGATATCAATAGTTTTGTAAGCGCTAATTTCCAAGTTAAAGATTCAAGACCCATGAATTTGAATATTTTTCAAATACAATGAAAATATGGATTTTTAGGTTATTTTTGGATTAAAATCATATAAATTATGGATCATAATGAGGAAGGGAGGTTTTTGCAGTGGTGTGTGGTATGCACTTTTTTTTATCTTTGAATTGGGGCTATAATTGATGAATTTTTAAAAAGAACCTATGCAGTTTTTTTCGAGAAAATGACCGTTATGTGTCCGGCCAGACGATCAAATTTTCATTTTTGACCGATTTGGCCACTTGCACTTGAAATTTTCAAGTCGTAATTGGCATCATTCGATAGCTTACTTTAAGACCTTTCCAACGAATATGCATACGCCCTGGGTAAGTCAAGTATAGGTGCGATTGTTTGAAAAAATTGCCATTTTTGGCCATTTTTGCACTATCGAAGGCCATATCTTGAAAACAAGAATTTTCTGGGATATGAGCTATGCAACATATTATAGCTTAGACTTGGGCCTAAAATCGATGAAATTTTCAAAAAAATCCTTGAGCTTGTTTTCGAGGTAATGGACGTTATGTGTCCGGCCGAACGGTACCTTTTTGTCTTTTGGCAATTTTGGCCACTCCAACTTGAAATTTTCGGACCGCACCATTCGATAGCTCAATTCAAGACCTTTCCAACGAGGTGCATATGTCCGGGGTGTGTCATGTGTATGTGGTGACCGTGGGGACAAAAGTCAAAAAGTGATTTTTGGAGGCCGGCCACGGTCAACATGGCGGCCAAATCGAAAAGTGCCGGAACAAAAAGTCTTAGTTTTTTGTCTACTTTAATCACAGAAAGTTTCAAAAAGATCAAACACAACTACGCAAAATTGGCCACAGACAGACAGACATTTCGATTTTTCATAGAGAATCATATGAAATTTTTAAATTGCTGAATTTTTCGAAAATATTGATCGATTTTGGCGGTTAGGGGGTCGTTGGAAAGGTATTGAGCTCTAGAATCCGAATATCGATATTTCAGAGGTCAATGACCTCATTTAGTGCCATCTATGGTCCCTTTTCTTGAAAGGACCATATTTTGAAGACAGAATGACCGATTTTCGAACTTTGATATTTTTTCTTGATTTATGGCCCAAGGGCTTTGCAACCATACATCAACCGGGGCCAACGGCCTTCTAGGTCTGGATTTCGTATATTACGTGTATAGCGAGTTCGACTTTTCAACACACTAATGTGGTTTCGTCACTCGCGCGTACTGCCGTCCGCTGAGATTGACGACATATCTATGGGGGTATTGCGTCACTTGAGGGACTGCCATCCCCCGTGATATGAATACGATTACAACATGAGCAACGTTGAAATTGAAAAAGTTTTTGTAATTGGAGACTTGCGAGTGTTGCTTGATGAAAATATATTTTCAATTCACATATTGAGAGTCTTGGCTGAAGTTTTTCGGTGGGGATTTTGTTGGTCCATGGACAATTAAACGCCTTTATTTTACATTTTTGTATCCAATAGTTGAGTATGGAGCGGAAATTTGGAATACACAGTACGAGTGGCAAATGAATCGAGTCAATACTAAAACAATTTTTACTTTATGCGCTAATGAGAATGAACTGGAACAGTTACACACTTCCGAAATATAAACATAGACTTCTGTTTCTACAAATGATAACGCTTGAGGAGAGACGTGACGTGGCGCAAGTGACTTTCATCTTCAAAATTATTCTAATAATAGTATTATTCCTTTTTCGGTAATTTATTTTTTTCCAGTGTACTGAAATCAACAACATTCGCATGTGAGAAGCCTGGAAAAATTGAAGATTTTACTCCTGGTGATATATCATCAACAGATAAAAAAAGAAAAGGGGTATTTATTTTATTATTAGTTGAATATTTAGAAAAGACATTGGATGAAGATTGAAACATCAAAACCACTTCATTTAATTTCTAACATTGATATTTTGAAAAACGGTAAAGCTTCAGATTATTTGCGAGTATCTTCGATTTCGAACTCCACTTCAGAAAAATATATTTTCAAACAAGTGAATTTTCGGCAAAAATAATTTGAATTAAACAACTGTTACACAAATTTGACGAACACTGTTCAGGAATTCAGTGGGGAAATAAAATACAGACAAAACGTAAGAACAATACTGTGTGTGTCTACTGCGTCGCACTGCTTAGAATATTTTTTTGGTCTTTTTGTTCGTTCGTTCGTTGGTAGAATTGTATTGCGTTCGTTCGTTCGTAGAAAATGAAATTTTCGGATTGTTCGTTCGTTTTTCGTACATGACTAGCTTATATGAAACTCTCTGAGACTGGGTGAAATGCAAGAAAAAAGTGAAAAAAAAATTCGTTTTTTTTGTGCACTATACCGAGTCTCCGAGAGTTTCATATAAGCTTGCCATGTAGCAGTACAAAGACGGTCGAAAAGACGAAAAAATTTTTTTTTCAATATTTTCGACTGTCATTTTCATGGCCTGGAAATGCCTATGTAATTTACATATAAACGAGTGAGACTCAAACATGTTCTTCTTTTTCCATCAAATATACCAGTGGCGCCACAAATTTTACATATAAGCGCATACAAAATGTTCAATATGGCTGCGCCCATGAGAGAGAAAATGTCGTCTCATCCATTTCCGCCCCATGGTCTTTTTGCTGTTACATGGCAACCTTATATAAAACTCTCGGAGACTGGGTATAATACACAAAAAAAGTGAAAAAAAAAAATCCTTACGGGAGTCAAATTTCAACGGTTCGTTCGTTAGTCTTCGTGGACAGCTATATTTTTACCAAACACCGAACACATTCGGATTTTTGGAATATGTTCGTCATACGAACGTAAAATAAGGATTTGCCATGAGTACAGAAAAATTTCTGTTGGCTACCGAATTTTTAAGCATACCAACCGCGCTCCGCTAGCGAAGTGCTTACTATACATACAATTAAAATTTGAAGAAAATATCGATCATTTATTAGTTTTAGGAACACATACATGAATGTTAAATCAAGAAATAAAAAAATAATAACATTATGAGTCGAAAATAATGTCAAGTTGTTGGAGTTTGTAAGATATATTGGGGATTAAAATAAGTTCGTGTGGTTTTTATCTTCAAAATGTGTATTTATTTCAATGATTAAATGAATGAATACATTATTCAAAGTACTGTCCATCGCTAGCCAATAATTTTTCCCATTTTTCAGGCAATTTTCGGATTCCATGTCTAAAGGACTGAAATAGGAAAATTGACTAGAAACGGTGCACTGAGTGGTATTCAGAAAGAGTGATGATCAGTGAGTACAGCGGGGGTATAAAGTTTTTTTATCGATCTATTTTTCAAACAATTTTTGATAATTTTGCAAAATTCTACAAGTTTTTTGTAATTTTTCTGTTACATTTAAACCAAAAACGATCAATCGACATCAATAAAGATCATCTGTAACAATTTTGATCAGTTGTAATTCGATCACGTTTGGTAGAATCACCCAATTGGCAGAATCACGAATTTTTGGATTTCTTGTCGATTTTTGTAATTCAGCTCAACTTACATATGGTTTTTTATGCTTGAAATTCTTGAAATAGATCCCTCCTTTACAATCAATCTCAACTCAATACGAAAATGAATCCATTTGTAAATTTGGAGCGACATTTGATTAGTCTTGTACTGCCATTCAACCAAATTTCTCCTTCAGTTCGAATTCGCTACAATTTTCACCACTTTCAGGAAATGTAAATATTTGATATCAATCGCATTGTTCATATTTAGTCAATCCACAACTTTTGAATGCATTTAACATAGAATTTTTTGCAAAAATGAGTAAAATAATTCAACTTGAAAATGTTTGGTGAATTTGGAGTTTTACACCAAATTCACCACTCAGTGTTCACCAAACTTAACATTTTTGTGTTGGAATCGACAGATCTTGTTAATCTCAATGCACCATAATGATTATATGCATTTCTGATTGGATTAAAGTGAAAAAAATTAAATTCCCGCAAACGATGTTTTTTTGAAATGAACTCAGACATTTTCAATGCTGTAAAAATTCTTATTGTTTACACTTTGATCAAATGACACCTGTTGATACTTATAGGATTTTGACAGTACTTTCACATGACGGCGGATATAGTGTAGACTGATGCAAAAAAATACTACTCACGCCATCTATTGGAAAACCGCACGAACTTATTTAAATTCCCAATAGATAATGTCACGTGCAATTGAAAATTTAAAATTTATTTTGAAATTCTTGACTACTTTTTTTGTGCCATTGCATACTTGTTTTCTGCTAAAAATGGCTTATTTAACGCATTGCTTCGTATATTTAAAAAGAATTAAATCATACACTGTTTTTAAAAATGTATTTTTTTTTTTTTTTTTTTGGAGCTATTCATTTTCACTATTTTCAATTTTAAAAATAGTTATTGTATTCAAAAAGTTAAAATATTTTGTGCAATGGCTGAACCAACAATTTTCCTATAGGAGAAAAGTGAAGTTCAGCCGAAGTAAATAGATTTGAACGTAAAATCAAAGAAAGAAAATTTAAGAAAAAACACAGTGACAGCAAAAACAATGGAGACACAACATTTCGAACAACAACGTTTGAAGAAAAAACATTTCATTGCTGCACAGAAAATAAATGCACCGGTGCCAAATATAATGCATCGCATTTTAACTGCATTTTCTGTGGAAACAAAATTTACATGGAATGTTTATCACAAACAATTAAACAAATCGAAAGATTGCTACAGCATATGGGATTGGTGAAGCGCGCAATAATGCCAAATAGCAACAACTACGAATACGTTAGTGATGAATACAAAGAAGATGAATTCAATGACATTTTCATTGGATTATCACCGTTGCCCGTCAGTTCTTCAAAATGCGTGCACAAATTCCAAACAATTCAGAAAAATGAATATGCTAATGCTGACGAAGGAAATTTTGTTGATGCAATGGAGCACTTGTTTTATAAAAACGAAGTCGAGAGAGTGCTCAAAAAAGTTGGTGATAAAGTGATAGACTCGATAAACAATATTCTTTGAAATGAGATAGAAATGTCTCTTTTTGTAAAGGATACAAATGATGTCATCACGATCAATATAACGTTAAATGATACAAATGAAAATGGGTCAAATGTAACGGCAAAAGCGAATGACCGTCGACGAGGCCATTGGAATGATGGTTTCAATAACCAACGACATATTAAGGATGTTTTGCCGATAGCTAGTTCGCATTTTGATGATTGTGATTGCCGCTCTTGTTTTATTGAATTCGAGAAGAGCTTTAAGGATTTTCAACGTGTTCGGAGGGGTCTACGGCCGCCGGCTCAGCGCTGGCAATCCAGAAACCACTATTGGATGCCACAACAGACTCGGCTGTAAATTATTCATTGATGGACTCATCTGAATGAGAGACTCATCTGAATGACGACGTCAATTCGAATGACTTGTTTCCACAGATGTACGATGTGTATCGTAGTGATCGTTCACGAAACACTGAGAGTGACCAAATTCCTCAAAAGGAGAATGGAGGAGGAGTCTTGATTGCTGTTGACAACAAATTGAAGTCGATCTGCATCGTAACGGGCGACCAGTTCGGGGCGGAACAGATTTGGGTGAAAGTAGTTGGCCATAAAAGGAACATCTATTTGGTAGAATTATATATTCGACCAGACTCAACACTCAAGGTATACGAAAACAACATGAATGGCTTGAGGGAAATCGCATCGAATTTGAGTATAAGTGATGTTTTAGTGGTTTCCGGCGATTTCAATCTGCCCAAAATTGGTTTGGTTGTTGACGACGATGAGGACCCTGACATAGCTATCAATGCAGCCAGTGAAAAAGTGATACTTGCAATGATCTTGGTCTCCAGATAAACAAGTGCTATAACCGAAATGGTCGTATGCTAGACTTGATCTGGACAAATGATGTTGAGCTGTTCCAGTGTTACATGAGTGAATATCATTATTCATTATATATCATTTGAGAAGCACCACAATGATTGTAAAGTCAACAATCGAAACTTAAAGTATGTCCAGTAAAAAACAAAAATCAAAAGGAAGCAACCGATATGGTTTAACAAGCCACTAGTCGAGTTAAAAAACAAAGTCAGCAAAGCTCATCAGATAAAAAATAAGCACAACACGATTGTATCAGTAGAATATTTCAAACAATTAAGAAGAGAATATAAATGCAGTGCACGGTCAGCACTCAGGGATTGAAGAATTGAGATGGAGAATCTAATAGACGAGGATCCAAAGAATTTTTTCAAGCATGTAAATTACAAAAAAGGGAAAAGTGATGATCTGCCTCAAGAAACGTCTTATCTGTATATGAGGGAAGATGACCAGTCTACGATCGCTGGTTTATTTGCAAAGCACTTTGCCACAGCCTACAGCTCTTTGAAGGGACATCTACGATTTGATAGCTTGGAAATTGAACATATTCGCGTCATTTTTGCAGAAATATCACCAATTGAAATAACTGAGGAGCTTGTTGAACAAATTGACATTCTCCCGGATGATCTAGTCACCCACCATCTCAATCAATATCTAAAGAACATAGTACATGAAAGTCAGCATGGGTTCATCAAAAATAGGTCAACGATAACGAATCCCATTGGCGCAACTTTGTTCATCATGTTTGTGATAGATCTACCTTTCGTCGTGACCAAATCTTGCATCCTTTCATTCGCTGATGATACCAAGATTTCAAAATGTATAAAATCAGAAGATGACTGCATTCATCTTCAAGAGGATTTGGATCGTGTGGCAAATTACTATGAACGCAATTTATTAAAGTTGAACGTTAACAAAACAAAAATAATATCATATCATCGTGGATCACTGAAATATGAATATAATTACAACATAGATGGCGTGCAAATTAAAAGAGTTGAAGAAATGAAGGACTTGGGAGTATTGCTTGATTTGAAGATGAATTTCAAATCACACATCGAGCATGTTGTTGCTAAGGCAAAATCACGATTGACTTGGTTAAAATTCAACAGCAGGGTTTTGTCGACCCATGGACGTTAAAACGCCTTTACTAAAGTAAACATTTATATTACCAATTATTGAGTATGGATCTGAAATATGGAATCCACACTACGACAATATGTGCAAAAGAATAGAGTCAATACAAAAGCAATTTTTATTGTATGCACTGAGGAGAATAGCCTGGAACGATTTTAGACTGCCAAAATACGAACACAGACTACTATTTCTGCAAATGATTACTCTTGAGGAGAGACGCACGATGGCGCAAGTGTCTTTTATTTTCAAAATTATTCAAGGAGATTCAAAGTCAACTTATGTTTCAAACAGTATGAAATATTATGATTCAGCACATGATACCAGAGCAACACCACTATTTGATTTACCAATTAGGAGAACTGATTACACAAAATATGAGCCAATTAATTATATGCTTTCAACTTTCAACGATTTTTATACCAAAAAAATGACAAACAGTGATAAAAATTTAATTTATTTAGAAGTAAATTTATCAACAGTCAAACTGAGAATAGAAAATTATTTAAAGCAAAACAGATAAATACAAAATATTTGTTATGGATTGTAAGGCTTTTGGGCATTTGGAGAATTGATTTATGAAATTAATATATATTATTAACATGAAAGGAAAAAAACAATAATTTTTCATATTCTCTCTCAAAAATGCTTGATAAAAATCAAATTGAATTATATTATATTTGAATCGTTGCGGCGAAAGAGTAGCTCTTATTTTTCTCCAAATAATACTGCAACATGAAGTTTTTTTCACACGGTTTATTTGTTGTAATACAACAAATAAACTATTCATAAAAAACTTTATGTTGCAGTATTATTTATACTCTTTCGCCGCAATGATTCATTTATTTAATGAAATTATTTTCAATAAACCACCAAGGCGAAGGAACGCTGTTCGGTGCAGTTATTATTATTATTATTAATAAGTTTTAACAAACAATCAAACCTCCCATTCAAAAAATTCAATTTTGAGCCATTTTTTGGAAACGTTCGTCAAAAATGGACTTTTGTTCAATCAATTGATTTTAAATTACAAATCTGAGGTCATATTTGAAATCAGCGGACAAAATAATCCTAAGGACAGTGATATAATAAAAAAATTACTACAGATGACACCGACTAAACTATGCACAATTGCACATTTTCATCCCAAAATCTCGTGAACTTCTGGAACGACATCAGTATTAGTTCGAGTTATCCATCGTGTTCAAAATTCATTGTATCATAAAATAAAGGTCGAATTCAAGTTTCTTGTGCCAAAAACCCCCAATACAC